ACTCATTATGTGTGCTGACACTGCTGAGCATTAGGCTGCATTAGGAGCATGTGAGACTAAGCGCTCCGTGCGTCAGTTTGTATGTGTGAGTGAGAGAGGTGGCCATTGTGACATCACGTGTGGCATGCTGCCAACATTCCGCCCATTCATTCCCTATAGGAAAAAATATCGACTTTGAATGTTAATTTTTGGAAAACCGTGCGTCGGATCGCTTAGAAAAGCACAAGCGCACCCCGCGGGTATAGGATCTACGATCCTGCAAAGTTTCGTGGCTCTAGCTCGAAAACTGTAGGAGGAGTAGCATTTAGTTTTTTGAGTATAGAATAATAATAATAACTAGAAAGGGAAAGTTCGTGAACAAACTTTAAGTTGGCTTGAAAAAGCCAGTTAATTACGTTAAAACGTTAAAATGGTTGAACACTGTTGATAGTTATAATGTTGCCAAAATTTTGTTAAGCAGAAGCTGCAGTATCTGTCGTGGATGGTAATTCATTGCTAGTTGCTACCGTGAATGAAGTTCCACCTTAAATTCTGTGCCACCTTAAATTTAGTACTATGCTAATTGAAGTTCCACCTTAAATTCTGTGCCTTCTTAAAGTTAATGCTATGTTAATTGAAGTTCCACCTTAAATTCAATGCTAATTTAAAAGCAGTTCCACCTTAATGTCAGTGTCAATGGAAACTCAGTGCCACCTTAAAAGGAGTTAAAATGGTTAAAATGAACAAAGTTAAAATGGTTGAAGGCTGTTGATAGCTGTTGAAATGTTGCCAAAATGTTTCTAAGCAGAAGCTGTAGTATCCGTGGTGGATTTTAATTCTTTGCTAGTTGCTACTGTGAATCAAGTTCCACCTTAAACTTTGTGCCACCTTAATTTTAGTGCTGCCTTAAAGAGAGTTCCACCTTAAATTCTATGTCGCCTTAAAAGAAGTTCCACCTTAAGTTTAGTACTATGTTAATTGAAGTCCCACCTTAAATTCTGTGCCACCTTAATTTTAGCACTACCTTAAAGAGTTCCACCTTAAATTCTGTTCCACCTTAATTTTAGCGCTAGGTTAATTTAAGTTCCACCTTAAATTCTGTGCCACTTTAAATTCAATGCAATGTTAACTGGAGTCCCACCTTAAATTTTGTGCCACCTTAATTTTAGTTTTACCTTAAAGAGAGTTCCACCTTAAATTCTGTGCCTCCTTAAAGTTAGTCCAATGTTAATTGAAGTTCCACCTTTAATTCATTGCTAACTTAAATGCAGTTCCACCTTAATTTCAGTGTCAGTGTAAACTCAGTGCTACCTTAAAAGGAGTTCCACCTTAAAATTCAGTGCTACCTTAAAAGAAGTTCCACCTCAAAATTCAGTGCTACCTAAGTGCAATTCCACCTTAAAAGCAGTTCCACCTTAACAAATCATTATGTGTGCTGACACTGCTGAGCATTAGGCTGGGAGTGGGTGAGATATTAGGCTCCGTGCGTGAGTTTGGATGGGTGTGTGAGTTAATGGGCCATTGTGACATCATGTGTGGCATGCTGCCAATATTCCGCCCATTCATTCCCTATGGGAAAAAATTTCGACTTTGAACGTTAATTTTGGGAAAACCGTACGTCGGATTGCTTAGAAAAGCACAATCACACCCCGTGGGTATGGGTCCTACGATCCTGCCAAGTTTCGTGGTTCTAGCTCGAAAACTGTAGGAGGAGTAGCATTTTATATTTTGAGCGTAGAATAATAATAATAAGAAGAAGAAGAAGATTACGAGGAACAGTAAGTTGGCTTTTTCAAGCCAACTTAATAAGATTACGAAGAACAGTATGTTGGCTTTTTCAAGCCAACTTAACTAGAAAGGGAAAGTTCGTGAATGAACTTTAAGTTGGCTTGAAAAAGCCAGTTAATTACGTTAAAACGTTAAAATGATTGAAGACTGTTGAAAGTTGTTAAAATATTGGTAAAATTTTGCTAAGCAGAAGCTGCGGTATCTGTGGTGGATTCAAATTCGTTGCTAGATGCTAGCGTGAATGAAGTTCCACCTTAAAGTCTGTGCCACCTTAAATTTAGTTCTACGTTAAAATCTGTTCCTCCTTAAATTCTGTAATGCCTTAAATTTAGTGCTATGTTAATTTCAGTTCCACCTTAAATTGCGTGCCAAATTAATTTTCATGCTACCTTAAATGGAGTGCCACCTTAAATTCTGCTCCACCTTAAATTCTGTGCCACCTTAAATTTAGAGCTATGTTGATTGAAGTGCCACCTTAAATTTAATGCTAGGTAATGATAATTCCACCTTGAGTTCTGTTCCAACTGAAATGTAGTGACTATTAATAGCAGTTCCACCTTAAATTTAATGATATGTTAATTGAAGTTCCACCTTAAATTGAGTGTTATGGTAATAGCGGTTCCACCTTAAATTTAATGCTATGGTAATTGAAGTTCCACCTTAAATTCTGTGCCATCATAAATTTAGTGATATGTAAATAGTAGATCCCCCTTAAATACAATGCTATGTTAATTGAGGTTCCACCTTAAATTCTGTGCCATCTTAAATTTAGTGCTATGTTAATTGAAGTCCCACCTAAAATTCTATTCCACCTTAAATTTATGTGCTATGTTAATAGCAGTTCCACCTTAAATTTAATGCTATGTCAGTTTCATTTCTGCCTTAAATTCTGTTCCGCCTTAAATTTAGTAATATGTTAATAGTGGTTCCAACTCAAACTTAATGCTATGTGAATTGAAATTCCACCTTAAATTCTGTGCCATCTTAAATTTAGTGATATGTTAATAGCGGTTCCACCTAAAATTTAATGCTATGTTAATTGAAATTCCACCTTAAATTCTGTGCCATCTTAAATTTATTGCTATGTTACTACCAGTTCCACCTTAAATTTAGTGTTATGTTAATTGAATTTCCACCTTAAACTTATTATGCTAATTGAAGTTCCACCTTAAACTCATTGCTAACTTAAATGCAGTTCCACCTTAATTTCAGTGTCAGTGTAAACTCAGTGCTACCTTAAAAGAAGTTCCACCTTAAAATTCAGTGCTACCTTAAAAGAAGTTCCACCTTAAAATTCAGTGCTACCTTAGTGCAATTCCACCTTAAAAGCCGTTCCACCTTAAAAAATCATTGTGTGCTGACATTGCTGAGCATTAGGCTGTGAGTGGGTGAGACATTGGGCTCCGTGCGTGAGTTTCGATGGGTGTGTGAGTTAAAAGGCCATTGTGACATCATGTCTGGCATGCTGCCAACATTCCGCCCATTCATTCCCTATGGGAAAAAATATCGACTTTGAACGTTAATTTTCCGAAAATCGTACGTCGGATCGCTTAGAAAAGCACGAGCAACCTAATCGGGTATAGGATCTACAATCCTGCCAAGTTTCATGGTTCTAGCTCGAAAACTGTGGGACGAGAAACATTTTATATTTTGAGCGTAGAATAATAATAATATTAATAATAAGATTATGAAGAACAGTAAGTTGGCTTTTTCAAGCCAACTTAATAATAATAAGAAGAAGATTACGAAGAACAGTAAGTTGGCTTTTTCAAGCCAACTTAATAATAAGATTACGAAGAACAGTAAGTTGGCTTTTTCAAGCCAACTTAATAATAATAATATTAATAAGAAGAAGATTACGAAGAACAGTAAGTTGGCTTTTTCAAGCCAACTTAATTACTACCAACAAAGACAGCCAAAGATTATGTAAATGCAGCCCCTAATACAGTTTTTTTTTTTTTAAATCTTTTACTTTTCATGAATTATTCGTGATAGAGTGAATTGCATGCCTACCAAACTGCTGTGGTCAGTAAAATGGTAAATGATACAAGGAAGGTATATTTAATATTCTGGCAGTTTAGTGTATAATTGAGCAGCATTAGATCTGCTCAGAAACCTTCAGCCTTAATTTCCTATTAGGTTAATTAGGCAATTTAGGACAAGGAATGTTGCTAAATGTACAGAAAACTTTTTAAAAGGTGAAGTAAGTATTAAAGTAGCATCCATGAAAGGCCTAGTGCTTTATCAGCAAAGATGGGTCAAGGCTTGCCACTTTGCCCAAAGAAATTGGAGATCTGTGAAAGCATCATTAGCGCTGAACACATTTTGAATAACATTTGCTGCTGTTTAGGCTCTGCCTTTTTCAGTGACAACCAAGCCTTATTTCAACATGACAACATCAAGCCACATTCTGTATGCGCTACAATAGTATGACTGCGTAATCAGAGAGTGTGGGTGCTAGACTGGCCTGCCTGCCTCCTATTGAAAACGAGTGGCTCATTATGAAGTGCAAAATACACCAACAAAGCCCTGTACGATTTCACAGCTGAAGACTTGTATAACTAAAGGATAACAAAAAATTCTACTTTCAAAACTGGATCACTTTGAGTCTTCAGTACCCAAACAATTATTGAGTGCTGTTAAAATGAAAGATAATGTAACACCTTTGGTAAACATGCTCCTGTCCCAACTTTGTAGGCATCAAATTTGGAATGAGCATATTTCTACAAAAAAACAAACAAACAGAAAAGTTCATAAGGTAAAACAGCAATTTTAATTTTAATTTTAATTACTGGTCAATCAGAATTTACTAATCTCTGCATTCTGTTTTTATTAGCATTTCATATACTGTCCCAACTTTTTAGGATTTTTTGTAGTATTGAAAGCATATATTCCAAACCTTTGAACAGTGATTTCAAATTTTTAAACAGTAGTGTAGATAAGGCTATATATATAGCTGGGCACACACTAGAGAATTTTGCATTTCATTTGAGCCCTGATTTGCTTCCCCTGACAACATGTAAGATTGACATGAAAATCATTGAAAACTAAGAATGTGACTGTTTCTATAAACCTTAACACAAAGTGCAGTCTGTATCTGGTGTAGCTCAACACCTATAGCAGGGTTTGGTTGTGTTGATTTTTAGAAAAGTGGAACTCTTTCTTTTAGCCAAATTCGTTCTCTGTGTATGTTAATCTGATGTTTGCCATACAGATGCATGCTAAATGTTTAGTATTGTTTGATTGTTGTCCAATATATTCAAGAGGAATCACCTGCAGAAAAGGCTGGTTTGGAGCCATTTTTTGATTTCATCATATCCATTGGTAATTCTTGTCTTGTAAGTACACAATTAAACCATTTTTCAAAACAAAAACTATATTTCTTCATACCAGGTAGTTTGACGCAAGGCACTTTCTATGCCCTTAAAGGCCAATATTTGTTCAAACTGTATGATTAAATTGAACAACTGTATGTTCAGTGTTGCTACCCTCCACATTTGGGTTTTCATTTTGAACAAATCTGTTACAGAACCCTTTAGAATCTTTATATTTGGTGTTTCTATACGTACTACTGTTGTTTTTACTACATTCAGGTGTGTTAAAGATAAAGATAGACTGATCATTGTTTTGTGAGGCCAGAGCCAATTACTGATTGTCCATTAGCATGATTAGCTGATGCTAATTCAGTTCAGGGGCTGGGGCCAGATGCAATGCAATCCTTGCAATGAACTCATAATTGTGATCTGACAACTTAAAAATAAAAAATAAATAACACAGAACAAAGTGCCATAAGCGTATGTCTGTGACTCAGAACTCACCGCCAGTTTACACCGGATGTGTTTCTGGAGATTTTTGTAGCTCTCCATCTGACAGAACAGATGTGATGCCATTGTAATCAGTTTTAGATGTACATCTTACGACCGTCAGACTTAATAATTCACTAAAATGTGATGATCTTGTTGGTCTAGTAGTTGTCAAGCAACTCCTGCATTGTCCCTACAGTTTGTGGAGACTATGGTTGTGATGAGGCTTTTATTTGATAAAAACAGGGGTGAAAACTTGTAACTGTGTTTTCGAAGAAGAAAACAGAAGTGTTTATAGGACATGCTTGAGTTGGAGGCAGTATGGATTGGATGCTAAATCTTATCAGGAAATAAATATTTTTCTCAGATATATGTGTACCACAATTGTTGGCACCTCTTCAATTAATACTTTGCTGCAGCCTCCCTTTGCGAAGACTTCTCCCATAATGCTTAATGAGACTGGAGAAGACATGGCAAGAGATCTGAGACCATTCAAGTCAAGAGGCTTTTATTATTATGAAATTATGTTTCTCCAGGAACAAGGTGCAACATGTAACAAAATAGACAGTACAAAGTGCAAACTTGCAGATGTAAGTGTGCAAAAAATTTAGACTAGAAACAATACAATAAATACAATAAATAAAACAGACATTAGACACAGTAAACAGACAGGACAGTGCAGCACCGACACAACACTCATTTCTGGGCATGAGGTAGTGGAATAAGGTGCGAAGATGATTTAACATGCTGTGATATGTAGATATACGCAGTCAGATTATAACATACGTGAGCACAGCAGTTACTGAGGTAGGATATACACAGTACTTGAGTAAACAAAGTGTAAACATAGTGTTAGCAGCAATGTTCCAGATGCAAGTAACAAAAGAGGAGTGTGTGGGTGTATGTGCGTGTGTGTGTGTGTGTGTGTGTGTGTGTGTGTGTGTGAGTGAGTGTAGAGTAGGGCTGGGCGATAAAACGATAACGATAAGTATCGCGATATAACTTTTCCTCGATAGAGCGATGACAGGTTCGATAAATTTTCGATATAATACACCATTCTCACACTTCCACGTTTTAGCGAAGGCCCTGGTGGCGTTTTCTACTGCAAGGAAAGCGACACTACTCTGCTGTCGCCAGGAGAGGGTGCACTTCCGAGTTTTTCGACTTGATTAGAGAGGGAGGGGGCCACGAGTAAAAAAAGGGTCGCCAAATATACCAAATATACAGCAACGGCTGAAACGCAGAGTTATACAGTCCCTGTTTGAGTGGAGTGACCGGCGATCTGTTCTTCTGTGACTGAGTGTGAGTGACGAGATCAGTGGTGTAACTGTACTGTCCTACAGCGAACTCACCTCTTTCCGTGCGTCCTAACAACTTTAGTGGTGTTAAATCACGTCTACAGCTCCGTGTTACAGCGCCAAACCGTCATATTTTAGTATTAGTGCATTCTCGAGCAACGAAAGTGAAAGAAAGAAGTGGGTTCACGTTTGTTACAGCCCTGATTTAAATGAAAGTAAACTGAGGAAGCTGTGAGGCATTGGAGAGCGGGAGAGTGCTGTCTTTCCAGGCTAGCTGTTTTTAACTTGAAGCAGCGCTCCGGCACAACACGGTGAATTGATGATACAGTAGATCAAACAAGACACAAAATCACCGCTTTCAGTTTAAACATACCTAAAAGGAGGACTCTGTTTGACTGGTGTGAGAGATTCACGCTGCAGATAATGCTTTTACAAAGCGAACGTCAGATATACTGCGGTTCACCCCCTAAACTACTACGATATCATAGAGAAATCCAGTCGTCGCTAGCTGGTGTCTGAATACTGTGATGTGCTCTGACATGGATGTGGTAGGAGTGACAGCAGTGACCTACCGAACCGAGTTGACGATGTTGAGAAACTAAAGAGTTTAGCACTGTTGTTGGCCACTTGTTTAGCATTTGTAACGGAGTAGCCAAGTGCTCGTCACCAGACAGCTAAAAATAATCTGTTTTCTTTCTTAAATTATGACTATTACAAAAATTGCAGCTGTGCTTTTCAAGCTGAAAAAAACAGCTCAGAAACTTTCTCCCACTCTTCCATGACAGATTAGTGAAATGTTCCACTGTTTGCTGAGTGTTTGTCATGATCGGACCATAAGTGATAGTTTAAAACCACAATTAACCACCCAGGAGCAAAATCAGCCTTCAAACGTGAAAGAAATCATGATTTGACATTTATCGCGATATGTATCGATATCGAACGATATGAATTTTGTTTATCGTGATAACGTTTTTGGCCATATCGCCCAGCTCTAGTGTAGAGTATGTGTGTGAGGGGGGTATTCAGTTCAGTCCTTGTGAGTTTAAAAACCTGATTGCTTAAGCAACAAAGCTGTTGCAGAGTCTGAAAGTGATGGCACGGATGCTCCGGTACATTCTGCCAGATGGCAGCAGTGAAAAAAGTCTGTGTGAGGGATGCATGGGGTCGTCCACAATGCTGGTGGCTTTAAAGATGCAGCGTGTGGTGTAGATGTCCATGATGAAGGGGAGAGAGACCCCGATGATCTTCTCAGCTGTCCTCACTATTCGCTGTAGGATCTTGCGGTCGGAGGTGGTGCAGTTCCCAAACCAGGCGATGATGCAGCTGCTCAAGATGCTCTCCACAGTCCCCCTGTAGAACATGGTGAGAATGGGAGGGGGGAGATTAGCTTTCTTCAGTCTCTGTGGGAAAGAGAGGCGCTGCTGGGCTCTCTTGGCTATGGAGTTGGTGTTGAGGGACCAGGTGAGGTTCTTTGTGATGTGGACACCGAGGAACTTGGTGCTCCTGGCGATTTCCACAGCAGAACCAGTGATGTTCAGTGGGGGGGTGGTCACCTCGCACTCTACGGAAGTCAACAACCATCTCCTTTATACAGAACCTCTCCAGATACTTCAGATTCTGAGGTCCACATTGTGGACTCTCCTCTTCAGCTCATCCCACAGGTTTTCTATGGTGTTTAGGTTAGGAGACTGGGGTGGTAATTGCAAAACCTTAATTCTGTGGTCTGTGAACCTTTTTTATGATGACATTGTGGCATGATTTGAATCATTGTTATGCTGGAAGATCCAAACTATCCCCTGCTTTAAGCTTCCTGGCAGTCAGCTTTTGGTTTTTATATCTGCTTGTACTTGATGGAGTTTGTGATGCCATGTATCTGAATAAATTGTCCAGGGTCTTTGGGAGAAAAACAAACACTCAGCATCACAGACTCACCACAATACTTTACACTGGGGATGAGGTACTTTTCTACATGGCCATCTTTATATCTACGTCAAACTCACCTCTGGTGTTTGTTGCCAAAAACCTCTATTTTCACCTTATCTGACCATAGAACACCGTCCCATTTAAAGATCCAGTAACCTCTGGCAAACTGCACGCACTTTGGCAGGTAGTTTGTTGGTCCTTGACTGCAGAGGCCTCTTTCTGGCAACCCCCCAAACAAATTGTGGTTATATAGCGGGTGTTTGATTGTGGTTTGGGAGACATTCTGACCTCAATACCTAACTAATTTCTGCAATTTCCCATCTATGATCTTTGGAGATTCTTTGTCCACCAATTTTACAGAATTTCTATATAATTAATAGGTGCTGACTGTTATGTTTTTTTTCAGGGCCAATATTGGTTATTAGTAATTAAAGGATACCGATAACCAGTGTTTGGGGCTGTGTGCCACGTGCCCGTTCCCCAGATCCCTGATGATGCCTTTGAGAGCTGGCAGGAAGGGAGGGCCCAAAATCCAAGAGCAAACGAAAACCTGTGATGACAGGATAATAACCGCAAGGGGTCGGTGGATGGCGCATGAGTTCTGAGTCCCGCCTCTTGGGCATTGCCTCCGGTCTGGGCAAAGCCTCACATTCAATCCCGGTGGCTGAGTCACGGAGCAGGGGCTGTGACAGGGAGGTGGACCAACAAGTTCTCCTTAACATTAGAACAGTTGCTTTAGACACTATAGGCTGCAAAAACAGTAATTTACACATTTTAAAGTTATCTTTAAAACAATAAGTAGACAAAACAAATAACTTAAATGATGTTTTAATAGTCGGTGACATTTATAAGAAAAATTTAGCTCAAAAAAGGAGTTCAAAAACCTTAAATAAATTATGCAAATATATTTTCTTTGCACAATTTTTATATACAACAGATATGTCGCACCAGCATCCTTTTTTTGGTACAGGTATTACTCCTTGCATGCTGATGAATAGTTGTTTTCATTCGCATGCCCTAGTTTTGCATTGATATAAAGATTGACGGATTGACTTGAGACTTGATATTTGTGAAATATTTTAATCTGAACATTGTTTCTCTGCCACAAGCTGACAAAGTAGGTCATCTATTACATATATTTTAAAAGAAAACACAACCAAAATGTTATCAAATAAAAGCAAAGCATAACTGCATGTGTGTTTCTACATGCGCTCTGTTTTTACTTTTTAGGTTAATTTAGCTAACCTTCTGCAATTCAACTCAGGGGGTCATTTCTTATAGTTGGGCCTCCTCAGCCATTGTTGTCCAAAGTGA